ACTAACTGTTCAGTCACCTAAAAGAAGGAAAATAAAAAATACACAAGCAAGTGAGCCATTCCTCTTCTCGAATTTTATGAATCATCTTTCATCACTGAAAGAAAAATTATAACATAATTGGATAATCAAGATAGTAATACTGTAACATGGAGCAGGCAGAGGGACCTAAGTTTCCACTTTTACTCGTGACGAAGCCCTGAGTCATTAACTATAACTCACACGTATGTACTGTAATACACAGAACGAGACCACAAAGAAGACTATGAAAAGATGCACTAAAAACCACGCTCTAAATAGAAGGAAAGAAAGAGACAGGAAATAAAAAGACTTAGACCCTAACATTTCAACGTAAATGGCCCGAGCACACAAATTAAAAGATTGGCGGGGTGGATAGAGCGAGGGGTGCACAGAGAGAACCTTCAAAGAGGTCAAAGAAGAAGAAAGCAAACCAGGTACAGGGCCTGGACAGAGTCGTCGACTTTCCCGCAGTCTGCATCCTCCTCCTCTTTCACGTCTTCTGGAACTAGGTCTACATTTGCTATCAGTCAGTTGAAGCTTCCGGCTTCCCTTCTCTCCCGGGAAGAGCCTGGCTTTCTTCCCTAAGCCTCCTGCTGCCGGAACCCTCAACTCCACAGCCTTTATCTGTCCACGAGGCAAGTCTCCCAGCCTGCATCAGCCCCACAGTCTCCTTCACTGTCCTGCAGCTGCAAACACTCCCTCCCAGGGTGAATCAGTGCGCTACACCGGCACCATGTGTTTCCTGGGTCTTCACGGCTCCTAAGCATACCGTTTCACTCCTCGTGAACCAGCCCCTCTTCTACTTTTTATCAATGTGATTCCAACCTTCACTGCTTCTTTATGCTTCTTGTCACTGATACCAAGAAAGTAAAAACTATGGGACAAGTTTCTTTTTGTTACAAATCCTGTTCCTCACACAATCCCAAACACACCTTCACCTGCAGTTTGTGTTCAGTCTTTATTAAAGGATAAGACGACCCGTCTGCTGTTGGTGGTTGCAATTTTTCCCTCTTCTGGGTTTCCCAACTGTATATTTCTTGCTTAAAGCAGTACCTTTTCCCCTGCATCTTTTCCCCCAGCTGTTCCTCCTCTTCGTGGAAGCACGTGTGGAAGGCTGAGTGTTCACATCATCCCACGGAGCCAGGAGGCTGCTGGCTGACTCCTTTCTTGCTCTTATGCACACCTGGACCTCTGCCTTGGTTACAGTTCTGAGTACCTGACACCCACAGCTAAAGGAGGAGAGGCGCGGTTTGCTCACAGTTTGTAGAGGTTTCAGTCCGTGGTGGGTGGCTCCAAGGCAGAGTGCCATGGAAGCAGGGAATCAGAGGAGAAACAGCTCACGGCAGAGCAGGCAGGCAGAAGACAGCAAGCAGCAACAGCAGCAGCCGCTTCCTGTCTCTTAGAATTTATCCGAGCTACCGCCCTTAGGGCAGGCACCACTCATACACGTCATCCCAGCATGACACTGTGAATCACTCCTAGGATGACACCCTGGATCCCAGCATCTCACACCCTACAGCCAGCCACCTGGGAAAAGTCCCGCCTGTGACCACGGGGGGCTTTGGGGGGACATCTAGACACTAACCATCACAGCTTCTTGAAAGAACTGTTCCTGATGGCCTCTTCTGCCTTATTGTGTGACTTGCTCTTGGCTTCAAGAAACAGAATTCACAAGCAAAAGTTCCCCAAACACGTAAGATCTCATTGATTCCCATAAGAAGCTAAGAGATGCACAAAGTATTTTTGAAGATGTAGGCTCTTCCCTTCCTTTTGTGTGTCACTCTGCAGCTTAACGTTTCTGTTGCCAAGGGCTTGCCCAGTGGCCACCACTGTGGCCTAGGTGGCAGGAAGACAAGAGGCAGGGTAGAGGGCTCTTTGTCAAGGTGGCCCTTACCTTCTTTTTATCCCTAGAAATCTCCTGTGGTTCACGGGGGTCAGATCTAAGTCCTAAGGGCCCCTCTTCCACCGATGGAGAGCAGGGCAGTGTTTTCAGGCTCTACTGGCTGAAGCGCACCTCACTTGTACAGAAGAAGACAGGCAAGATAAAGCGATCCTCAGACTCGGCCACACTCACCTGTCTCTCAGTTTTCCCCACCGCCACACTCCCCAGACACAGTTCTCTTCAATCTAAAGTAAAATAAAATAAAAAATAAAGTAATCTAAAGAGCAAATAAAGAGAAGTGAGGCAGACCCTGCAGGGCAAGGAAGAGAAAGGTCAGTTAGAGCCTCCCCGAGCCTCCGAGCACTCAGGCTGAAAATCACCAGCTTCCCCACACACCCGGTAAGCAACCGGCTGGTTCGGAGCACAGGCTGAGTGGAGAGCAATGGAGGTACAAAGAGCACCCGAGTGCTTGTACTGTTTGCCTGACCTTTCTAGGCCTGGGGCCAGTGATCTGAGCATCTCTAGGGAGGATGACAGTGTGCAATAGAGCAAATATGGAGGCTTCCTTCTGCCTTTGTTTGAAGTCAAATATTGTTCTCACTATTTTGTTTTGTCCCAATTGGTTTTTGTTTTTGGTTTATTCAGTGTTCTGTTTTGATTGGTTTTGTTCTGTTTGGCTTTGGTTTGATTTTTCTGTAACTGATGGAAGGGACAACATTGTGAAGGTAACCAGATACACTAAGGTAGCCACTAAGGTGTTATCCTGCTTCGAAGTTCTGTGCTGATTTCACTGCATTGTTTTGATTAGATTTATTCGCTTCTGTTTTATTGGGTTTCATTATCAATAAAATAACAGAGAAATGACAGGATGCAGGGAGGCAGACTTCACCAAAGTAGGAAGGGTGAGCGGGTGGCGATCCAGACACGAGACGGTTGTGCACTGATTCACCTCGATGATGGCAGTTAGTACGAACCACAGTCGTGTATTACACGCAGAAAATTAAATGAAATTGCCAGCGACCAGTGGCCAAGACCGACCTGCACCCTTCTTCCCTTTTCTTTTTTTTTTTTTTTGTCTTTTTCCTTTTCATCGGTACCAGGGATCAAACTCACAATTGCCTGCTTGCAAGGCAGGCGCTTATGCCGCTGAGCTCAATCCCCAGCCCCCCTTCTATCTCTTTTCTACCCGGCACTGGGCTACGGCCCCTTCGCGTGTGAGCCGCTCCTCCCTCTTACAGATTTTCCCTGGAAGCCGTTGCTTGGCCTCGCCTTGATGCTCCCGCAGGGCTGTGCCTCTTGCTCTGAGATTCAGCCCGGCTTTCCCTCGATTTCTGCCCACTTGCTGCCCAGCCTCTTCCATTCCTGCCCCTGCCCCTTCTCTCTTCTTGCCTTCTGTCAGCTTGCCTTACTGTTTTTCAGAAAATGGGAGCAATTCTCTCCAAAGTGCACAAATGCATGCCACTTGGCTGTGTGTGAGCATTCAAGGTGTGCAAAGACTCCATGAATTCCATCTGACCCAGTCACAGCAGGGCCGGGGTCCCCTATGGGGGTGAGGGTCAGCAGGATTCTGGTCCTTCACCCTATTTCTCATTAATAGCACGATTTGCGTTTTTTCTGTAGGTGGTCAGGGACTTAAAAGAGGTTTCCATTAAGTACCTGACTCTCGCTCAGGCTTGCAAATGCCCAGTGAGCAGCTAACACTAGAACCACACTCGATCTAGAGTTTGTGAAGCTCTGGGCCACCACTTTCTTGACTCTGCCCACAGGCATCTCAGCCACGTAAGGAGCTGCTTCCCACCAGGCCTGCGTTCCCCCAGCCTATCCCACTCGCCTTCAAGACTGAGGACCCCAAAAAGACACTTAGACATAATGCCCATTTCTGCTACTGCCAGGACCCACACCAGCCAGGACACACCCTGTCGTGGTTTATATCTGACCCCCAGGCCTCATGAGTTTGCATTGTGCATGATGTAATGTGATGTAATGGCAGGAAGAAGGTGTGTCTTGCTCTTTGCTGGTTCCTGCTTGCTGTTTGCAGCCGCCATGAACTGCGGCCCAGCCATTCCACCCTGCCTTGGAGCCAACTGAGGATGGACTGAAACTTCCTAAAACTGTAAGAAATAAAGCCTTCCTTTCCCAACTTTGGGCTTCAGGTATTTTGTCTCATCAATGAATAAAAAGTAACTAAGACACACCCCAATCACTGTGGAGCTGCTGGTCCCTTTGTCAGAGAGTCCACCTTGATGGTGCCGCACTACAGACTCCAAAGTCCAGATCTTCGATAAAATCTCTATTAGCATGCACCCTAGATGCCCCACACGGGACTTCTGCCCAAATAACCTTGCTCTCTTAACTGGCACTCACTGCACTAAGCCCTACGCCAGGGCCCTCCTTCCCTCAGCCCGTCCACTTGGCAAACGAATTTCATCCAGGCAGACAGGTCCGAAATACCTTTTTTCATCCCCAGATTCCCATCTCCTACGTCCAGCTGGTTACAACGCGTGTACCACACAGCTGGTACTCACGTGTACCACACAGGTCTTCTGCCCCCACTCTGTCTCCGCTGTGGTATTCTGGGTTAGCTATTTGTCACTCCCCTCCTGATGATGACAGCAGGCTTATGCTGCCAACACCCCCCGAGGTCTCTCCTCTGTGCTAGCACCAGGGTTCTCATGAAAATCAGAATTCAATCATCTTCTGAGTTAAGGTTTGTCTGTGAGCCCCAGTCCAGCACACCAGCCCGGTGCCCTAGCTATACACCCAGGTCTGGGCATCTCTGACTCCAGTTCACTTCGCCTTCCGGAGCCCTAACTGTACCCCTGGTCAGGCTCCTCCCTCAAGAGACAACCTGGGCCTTCCAGCCACCACCAGAGCTCCTCAGTAAGCCCTGTCATTGGCCCCGTCAAGGCTGTGTCCTGAAATGTCCATCTCCTCCTGCTCTGCTTGACAAAGGTGGAGCCCTTTTCAAACAGAAACCAGAGGTCCTTTCCTCTGCTCCCCTCTGCTCTCTGTTTTGTTTGTTTGTTTGCTTGTTTTGTTTTGTTTTATACCAGGAATCAAATGCACGACCTTGCACTTGCCAGACAGGCTCCGTGCTTGATTTTTTTAAAGTAGATTTTATTTGTTAACCAATATTATACGCCTTTTATGAGTGACTGTTCTTGGGGAAAAGAAAACTTTTCTTATACATTTTCATGGACAACTTGGACTCTGGAAACACTAGTGTCCCTTTTAGAAAACTGAGTGTGTTTGTGGAGTACGCTCGCCAGCCTGGTTTTCACTCTGGAAATAGCCACTAGGGGGCACGATTGTCACATATGTCTGTACAAATTCAGGTGATTTCGTTTTACACAAAAAGCCCATATGTCTACAATTTTATAGCCAATTCTGATTTTTCAAAGCCAAATAGAATATAAAGTTCTTACTCTTCGTCTCCATTCTTAATCTCACTCAAATATCTACCCACCAAGCGTCATTCAGGATATTTTCAAAGGAGAAATCACACTTCCCATTTTCCCCAGACTCCAGGGAATTCTTCACTTCACACACACTGTGCTCAGGTCTCCGACTGCTGCAGGCCATTTCGGTAGGAAATGCAGAAGACAGAGAAGTTCCTGGAATGTGAAGATAACAGGGAAAGGAAGCTGTGGCTTGTATCTGTTAGTCTGTGCATAGTTTGAGGAGAAATAAGTAAATAAAACATTATGGTTTTAGACTGATTTTCTTTTCTGTTCTTAGCTGGGTGTCATGATATCTATATCTGTGTCTGTGTCTGTATCTGGGGAGAAACAAAGGTGAAATACTGACTGAAAATTGGGTATAATTTCATTAGAAATGAGCACTTAACCCAGCCATAAAGGATGATGAGAAGTAAACTGACTTAAATATCTCTGTTAAAAAATGCTTTTTGACAATATATATGAGATTAAAGACAAAAACTATAAGCAATCTCCATACAGTAGTTGGAAATTTTGCTTTTAAAGTATTATGATTGGGGATTACTATTCTGAAACTACTTCCAGAGTGAGTAAGTTGAACAACATGTTAAATAAGTTGTAGATCATAAGAACCGAGCCTCTTGCTGTTAGAAAAAGAAAATTCAGATACACCAAAGAGAGATTGGAGTCAGAGATGTTACTACAACCTCTTGGTTCCTGGTGTGTGTGTGTGTGTGTGTGTGTGTGTGTGTGTGTGTGTGTATTAGAATCTGCATTTCCACAGATAGACAAATGTGCCTCTGCACACACACAAATACATAATGTGCACCTGTGTTAGAGAAAGACAGGCAGAGATAGATAGATGATAAATTAATAGATAGATGATAGATAACAAATAGGTAGATGATAGATGATAAATTAATAGGTAAATTATAGATAGATCAATAGATAGAATTTTCTAGCTCTGTTTTCCAATACAGCCTATAGTCTATGACACCCCCATAGCCACAAAAACATTCAGCACCCAGATTTGTGTCTGTAAATACCATTTTCCCATAACAGGGACTTGGCTTCAATGGAGAAATTGCCAATTCTATCTCCTAAACAGTGAAAATATAATCGTAAACTTGAGCCTGAAGCATAGTTAGTTCCAAAGAGTAAAAAAGTGATAAAATAAATTAAACAATGAAAGATGGGGTCACCTGAAAAGCCCCCTAACAAGTAAAGCAGGAACACTTTTAGGGATCCCTTGAATAACAATCATTTGGCTTCCAACCCAAAGAATAAAATATAAAGAACCATAAATCAATTCTCTTCAAACAAATTAATAAGTAGAACAGAAAGGAAAACTCTCACAGAAGAATTCTAATTCGTAAGTGAAGAAGAAATGAGACAGTAGAAAGTAACCATCAGAACACAAAGACATTGTGGCTGAAGGCAAACCTCACTGACAAACACGGGCCTAGCACAGGCTGCCCAGGTCTGTGTCTCCCTAGTACACTGCAGTGGGTGGGAACACCTAGCTGGTGGATTCAAACAAACTGTAACTGACAAAGAAAGAAATTGGGCCTCCTATATATGCTTGTATGAAAGGAACAAAAAGTACGGGAAGAGGGAGCAACAAGAAAGAGTCCTCAGTCCGCAATCCTGAGAACACTGATCCAGGAAAGGTAAATGCAAAGGAGGATGAGGACAGAAAACATGCAGTATCAGACACGGCACCAATAGACATAAAGCGATATCTCCTGAGCCTCATAGACGAGTTTAAAAGTGAAGCATTTAACAAAATAAAGCAAGATATAAGTAGAATAGTTAGAGAAATGCTAAGCATGGCCCAAGAAAAAACAGATGGTGGAATAGAAGAACAGAAAAAAAGGGGAGAATTGTTTGATGGAGAAAATAGAGAAAACATAGAATATGTGAAGCAGGTTCAAAGAGATTATCAGGAAACTAAAAACTCCATTGAAAGCTGGCATAACAGCTTGACAGAAACTAAGGATAGATTATCTGAACTGGAGGACAGATTTGTAAAGTGGGAGCATGAAATGAAAAACTTCTTAAAAATAACAAGGAAACAAACAGCAATAATACAAAGGCTAGAAGATGATAAGAGGATCTATAACTTAAGAATTAAGAATGTAAAAGAAGAAGTAGGAACATAAACAAATGAACTACAAAGGCTATTCACAGAAATAATCCAGGAGAATTTCCCTAATTTAGCAAAAGGTAAAGATAGTTGTATGAAGCATACAGGACCCCAGCCACTTACAACCCAGAGCAACACCCAGGCATATAATAATCAAAATTCCAGAAATCCAATATAAGAACAGAATATTAAAAGCCATCAGAGACAAGAAACAGATCACTTACAAGGGAATACCCATCAGAATTACAGCAGACTTCTTGGCACAAACCGTCAAATCACGAAGAGCATGGGGGGAAGTAATTCAAGCTTTGAAAGATAATAACCTCCAGCCAAGATTGATATATCCTGCACAACTGTCCTTAGAAATTGATGGAAAAACAAGGTGCTTCTAGGATAAAGAAGAACTAAGGGAATTTGCAACCACCAGTTCAACTCTACAGAAAATACTACAGGATATTCTAAAAAATAAAAATACCAAGATTCCAGAAATAGTGGCAGAGGCCACAATGAATGGAGCAGAAAACAAAATGAAGAAGACAAACTGACAACTAATAACAGAAAAAGAGCTCAACAGAAATGAGGCAGAGAAGGTTGGATGGTAGGAACAGCTATTTTGGAGAAAACAAGACATCATAATAGCTGGTGCTGATTTAATATCATCTTGTTTTGAAGTCCCATCAAGCTTTTGCTCTTCTGTCTCCATCGGTCTTAACATATTGTATCTTATTGGATTTTATTCTATGATAATATAAACAAAAACTTTTATAGACAAGGAGATTATACAATTGTTTATTATACAATTGTTTATTTTCTGTTAGTTGATCCTAAATACCCTGTAATCCTGTCATTCTCTTGAATGGTTTTACATTGTGTTGATATATTTGATGCTACAGTACACGAAGTTATACTCAAAGATTTCAAGGAAAGAGACACTATGGTAACTACTTTTATATCGGGATATTTTGTGGTGAAACACTATATTGCTTAAATGGTTATGTTTTGACCTGTGCTGTTTTGTTGTTATGCCCTCTTTTATCTCAATCCCCCTTTTTTATTATTTACTTTTTTATTTTTATCTTTTTAATTAAGGGAAAAATAAATAAAAATAGGATATATTATAGTAATACACTTTGATTTCCTATTAACTTGATTTGAAACCCTGCATTGCTCTCACCATCTCATTTTGACTGATTTTCCTCTATTCTGTTTTGCTTGATAGTACCAAGTTCAAAAGTATAGGCAACAACTGTGAAGACAATAAGATTCATTATGATGCCCATTCTGGTTAACTATTATCTTCTTTTGAAGTCCTGTAATGTCTCCAATGTTTTGGTTTTATTGGTTTTGTTCTTTACTGTTTTGTTCAATTTTATTATAACTGATATTATAGGTAATTCTTTTTAAGATAGCAAGAGGCATTATGGTAACCATTGTTGATCACCTTGTATTTTGTTTTTACATTATGTATTATGTCCATCCTTTTGATTTGACTGACTCTGTTTTGTTATGTCACATTTGGTTTTACTCTCTTCAAAAAAAGTAATAAGAACTGTGGGAGTAATAAAACCCAAAATATGTAATTGTCATTGTACAAAAGAGAGGAGAAGAAAGTGCTCTAAAGGATACAACTGCAAGTGTGTTTAGGTGTGTAAGATAGATGACCATATTACTGAGTTTTGTTGGATCATTGAACAGAACTGTTTGCAGTCTCACTGTTTGAATGTCTACTTTTTATGCTTTAATTTTGTAACATGAACAACTATTTCTAAGATGACAATATGTAATCTATTAACTAGTGATTTCCTACTGTTTATTTTTTCTGAAATTCTGTATAACTGGTACTCTTTTTCTGGTTTTTTTTTTCTTTTTCTCCTTAAATAAAAATTTTTAAAAAAGAGAGAGAGGTCTGGGTATAATTTATGTAAGAACCCTGAATATTTTGCATCCATGCAGTGAGCCTGCTATATCAAAATAAAATAAATATCAGTTATGTAAACTTCTAAGTAAGTATATTATACACTAGAATAAGAGAATAATAAACTACTGACAGACACAAAACAGGCGTGGAACTCAAAAATTATGCCGAATGTAAGACCCCAGACACCAGAAGTCACACACGCTGCCAAAATGGATTTACAAGGCCTTCTACAACAGACAAAAGCGTCTACAACAGACAAAAGGAATCTTATCCATGGGTGTCCCTGAATGGAGAGGAGGGAACTTTCTGGAAGGTTTCCACGTCCCAGCTAAGGTGGTCATTACATGAACTCCTACATTTGCAAAATCTTTTGGAACTAGGTATCTTAAATGTCTGTTTATTGTATGTGAAATACACTTCCATAAAGCTGTTTTTTTTAAATTAAAAATTATGGAATGGAGAACGGATTTTCTAAGAAGTATTTATAAAACACACCGGACATAAATAAAATAGTACTCACTTGATCAGCCAAGAACAAGCTTTAGTCTGTTTCAAGCTTTGAAAATAAGCATAACCCCCACCCTGACCCTCGTGCTGTGAGCGCTGAAACTGGGAAATGTTCTATATTTCCAGGAAACCAGGGTGAGAGCAGGCTGTTCCCACACATCCAGCCGTCTGGCCTCCCTGAGTGTCTGAGACTCGTTTCCAGCCATTAAAGCACTCATAAATGATCGGGACTCATGGCACAGCTCACTTTGAAGTTAGACCACTTCCTTCCTCTGCTTGGAAGCGCTGAAGGCCAAAGACCGCTGTGTTGTGCAAAGAGCCACTGACCTGACTAGAAATGTGGCTGGCGGGCCCCCAAAGAGTGCATGCAAGCTCGCACCGCCAGGCCCTCACCCGCACCTCCAGCCCCAAACAGCGATCCCCAGGGACTGCCACACCACTCACGGGCAAAAGTTTGTTGGAAGGAAAAGAAATGGAGGGAAGAGGTGGAAAAGGTCCCTTTGAAAGCTTGCTCCTGAAGGCATTAGTATTGCGGGAAAAGGAGGGGCTAGTGACCTGGGGAAGGAGCCTGGACTCAGGAGCTATGGTGCCCGGAAATCCAGAAAATGGAAATACCACCCCATGAAGAGGATCCTTGTGTTAAAAACCCTCCCTGGAGATCTACTAAGATAAATCTAAGCAAAGGCTTGGATTTTCATGCTTCCTGATCCAGTGGTTTGATTTCAGTGGGCTGTCTCTCTGTCTCTCTCTGTCTCTCTCTCTGTCTCTCTCTGTCTCTCTCTGTCTCTCTCTGTCTCTCTCTCTCTCTCTGTCTCTCTCTCTCTCTGTCTCTCTCTGTCTCTCTCTGTCTCTCTCTCTCTCTCTCTCTGTCTCTCTCTCTCTCTGTCTCTTTGTCTCTCTGTCTGTCTGTCTCTCTCTCTCTGTCTCTCTCTCTCTCTCTCTGATATCTTCTTTTTTCATTTGTATTATTTACCTCACTGCTTTGTAAAATCTGGACGCTGTGTTCCACCCCCTGCATCAGACTTTCCTGGAAACAGACAACTTTTAAGAGTCCCACAGACTCCCTGAAGAATCTCTAAAAATGAAAAAGAAAACAAATGTGATTTAAAAACCTTGTTTCTAGTGCAGAATAACCAAAAATTCACAGAAGAGCCACAAATATGGTCCAGAGAGACCCTTTAAAAAGAACCCTTGCAGATTAAAAGTAAGAGTGATGCTCCAGCCTCCCAGGTGTGAGACCCCACAGCCAAGGACGTGGTCCTAACCATATCTGACCATCAATCAGGACGCTCATGTTCAAGCTCATACATTCATACCAGTGTCTTCATGTTTCATGGAACCATCACTGAGTGTCCTAAAAATTTCTTTAGAACAAAGCTAAACATGCGTGCAGTTACCAAGCCTCCTGAGAACCCACCAGTCTCTCTGTGATCCTTGAAACTTCATGACCTAGATTCTTGTGGGTTCTAGTTTCTCCCAGTAGACCACCCCTACCGAGTGGAAGCCCTCACCCTAAGTCACCCCACCTACAGTCACCCTACCTAGGGTCACCCCACTGACCTCCACCCCATTCCTGGGCAGCTTCCACCCTCTCAAGTCCCAGCACCCTCCAGCATGGCTGCGTCCTCCACTTGCTTGAGCTTTGGGGACCAGGCTCTCAACAAATCTCCGTTAAGGTTTCCACACTCAGCCTGAGTGAGCGGAGAGCCAAGAAATGTGAGCGGTCCCAGCCTCCCCCATGAGTATAATCATTACACCCTGCAAACCTGTCCTAATAAAAAGCAAAGAATTTAAGGGTGTATTATGCACTGTTATGTTTTAGTGGACAGCAGACTGCATGCACAATGGTGGTCCCAAAAGATCTGATCTCCTAATGACATCACCCCTACGTCAGTAATAACGCATTTCTGAGACTGTATGCCCATATGCCCATCAGTAAGCCCTGCATCACTGGGGAGAGAGACAGAGTGAGAGCGACAGAGAGACAGAGAGAGAAAAAATAGAAGGACAGAGACAGAAGAACAGAGACAGATAGACAGACAGACAGACAGAGAAAGGTCAGCAGCCTTGACATTTGCTAGCTCAAACTCGGCTCCCAAGCTGTGTGAATCCCAGCTGTCTACAACAAAAATAGTGATGGATGTTGGAGAATCAGCTCTCACACCCTGACCAAGTCTTAAAGATTTCTGCCTCCTTTTTCCTTTAGAGAACTCTCAGGAAACTGGAACACAAAACTTACCTTTCATTTAACAGTTTGATCAACTAAAAGTGGCAGCCAAAGAACACCCTGGCTGCTACCGTGATCGGGTTATCAGCGGCCTGGGACAGAGCTCCTGTTGCATTGATTGACTTTATTCCCCTAGAAAAATGCAAAAATCTTACCATGTGTCCCTTCTATGGTGCAGGAAGCAGGTGACACAAGTCCCAATTGCTCTCAGTTCTCGAGCAACAGCAACGTGGAGAGGTAAACACTTTCCACCTCCAAGGAACCTCTGCACCTATAGATGCCGTAAAACATGGCCTCAAGAGCAAGCAGTGCTCCCTGAAGCAGCAGGGGACAGAAGACTGCGGTGACCCAGTGACACGCTCTGTGGTCCCCACCAGCTCTGTCATCCTCCCTCGGGGAGCTCCATTTCTCAGGGTCTCCTCACCAGCACACAGCGGTCTCAGCCTCTTCCAGCTTCAAACCCCTTGCTTAGCTCCTCAGTGCCCCGTCCTCCTCAGCCCGGGCCTCTCAGCTCCTCCACTGCCAGTCCACTTGCTGTTCTTTTAGTGTAAACATAGTAAAACCCAACAAAACAAAACAGAATAAAGCCAAGCAAAGCAAAGCGGTGAAATTGGTACAGAACCTCGAAGCAGGACACCAGGAAAACCCGAATGGCTACCATGGTGTATCTTGTGGTCCAATCCATCAGGCATTAAAAATCAAACCAAACCCAACAGAGCAAACCCAATCAAAACAGAACATTGAAGCAAAATAATAAGTAGGAACAAAACAAAACAGTAAGAACAATATTAGACTTCAAAGACAAGGCCAAAGGAATCCCCCATATTTGCCATGCTGCATACTATTATCTTCCATAGATGTTCAGGCCTGCAAAGTCAACCAAACAATGCAAGCGTTCAGTTGCTTTTTGTACCTCAGTTGCTACCAACTCAGCCTGTCCTCAGAGTCAGCCAGTTGCTGGGGGGTGGGGTCCTTGATTCTCACCCCGCAGGCCAGGAGGCTCACAGAAGGTGCTAACCGCTCCTCTCTTCCTGGGCCCCGCATGGCTTGCATGGATTACCAGAAAGCCTGGCTCTTTGGTGTCTTGTGGGCTCCTCGCAGTCCCAGCATGCCTGTCATGACCAAGGTCAGTGCTGACCATCCTGCTGCTAAATTTGGCAAATGTGTGTCCCTCTGATCTCACGCGGCTCCTCAGCAGCATCAGCCCTGCCTTCCGTTTCCTCTTAAGATTCTGTTCTCTGTCTTCTGCGCCCTCTCTGGCTGCTTCCACTCAATTCCTTCACTTTAACCTCCATCTTGGCCAAAATGTCTACCCGAGTCCCGTCCTGTTCCTCCTAAGGATCCTCTGGACTCGCTCCCCTGTTCCACCCCGAGCCACACTCATCCCAGCATGTTCAAAGTGAACTACGCTTCCGTACAAAATCTGTACCTCCGTCCCACACCCCTTTCCTTCTTGGGGGCTCGATGCAGGGTCCCAAGCCAAGCACCAGACATCCTCTTGGGGTCATCACTTTCCTCAGTTACATCAAGTCCCAAGCATCTCCATTCATCAGATCCCTGAGTTTGTGATATCTCCATCCGTGTGCTCCTACTAAACCTCAGCTCTGATCGTGCTGATGCTCTGCCTAAACTTTCTCCCAAATTCCTTAATGCCTACAGAAGAAACGGCAAGGGTCTCAGCAGAACTTCGGGCCCTCTGCTACCTGGTACCAGTGAACACCCCTGCTTCATCCCTCCCTCCTCTTACCTTGGGACAGCGTTTCTGTCCCTCCAAACCACTTCCGGTTACTCAGCAAACCATGACTTTCAAAAGTCCCCACCCTCAGCCTTCCCAAGAAGCAAGTCCTGCCACCACGCTGATTGGAAAGAGCCTCAGCCAGAAGAAAAACCGTGCCTTCCCGTGAGCCAGCCAGTGCGTGGGCTGGAAAACCAGAAAAGCATGACCACCAGCAAGGGCAACACCCCAACACCCCACACCCTGCACTCACCCCCTGCAGGGTGAGGTGATAGCCACTGAGGGGAGGGGACAACTGGATGCTCGCACTGTTTGGTTGACCCTGCAGGCCTGGGGCCCGCAGTCTGGGCCTCTGCTTGAGGATGGCAGTGTGCGTTGTGTCAGCTGTGGGAATCTCCTCCTGCCTTGTCTTTGAAATCCAATGTTGTGTTCCATTTCACTGTTTTGTTTTATTTCTGCATCTGGTAACCTGAGCAACTATTTTGAAGATAACAATGTGCAGTATTGTTCTCACGGCTTTGTTTTGTTCCAATTTATTGTTTGGCTTTATTCAATGTTCTGTTCTCTTTTATTCTGTTTTGTTGTGTTTTGATTTTGCTGTGTCTGACGGTATGGGCAACTATTGTGAAGGTAACTGGATAAACTATGGCAGCCATTGTTGATTTCCTACTGTCCTGCTTCAAAGCTCGGTCCACTTTCACTGATTTGTTTTGATTGGCTTTATTCTGTTTTGTTTTGTTGGGGTTTATTATCTTTAAAATAAAATCTAAAAAGATAAAAATAAAGTCCCCACCCTCACGCATGAGGTCTTTTTTGTTTTTTGTCTTTTTTGAGACGAGGTCTCATTATACAGTTCAGGCTGGGCTTGAGCTCACTTTGTAGCCTATGCTGGTCTCGAACTCACAACGATCCTCCTGCCTCAGCCTCCTGAGTGCTGGAATTACAGGTGTGAGCCGCTACACCTGGCCTAATGAAGACTCTGCCTCTGTCTCCTGTAACTACCTGGTGCTGGCCACCGCGGCCCACGAAGAATCTGTTCCCTCACCTGACAGCTGCTCTGTCCCCCCTCAGCCAGGGGATGGTGGTGCTCATCCTCCTCCTTACCGCTTAGCCTCACAACAAAGCTGCTTCCTCCCGTCTGTCTGCCCCGCTGTCTCACGTCCCCTCTCTGAGGAGACGGCCTTTTTCTCTCTCTTTGGAGAAAAGATCAAGTTGGAAGCTCATCTGCTCAAACTGCTCAAATACTGGTCTGACAGCCATTCCTTGGTCAGTCTGTCCAGGGGTCTGCCAAGCCTGTTGTGAGGGCTGAAGAGGGACACTCGAGGCTGTGGTCTTCCCCGAGGGGAAAACGAAGAATCACAGTTGGAAGGAACAAAGCTTACTGGAAAGGCATGCACATCCCAGATGAGGCCAGGTCCTCGAGATTGGCTCAGGCACGAACAGCCCAGCGCCCTCCCAATCCGTCTTAGGTGAGTCCCCAAAGCTAGAGCGGCCACTGCAAGGTGACATCCTCTCCAAAACAGGGGCTGCAGCGTGCACATCTTCCCTTGGTCAGCCGGGCCAGGCGGAGCGCATCTTAGTGCGTCCTGTTCTTCCTCTGACCCCCACCGCAGCACACTCTTCTCCTTTCTAACTACAAACATCCATAGTTGGGGATTCGCCCCAAAATGTTAGGGGGTCACCTTTCATTCCTTATTTTCTTTATGCTTCAGGGATATGGATTTTTTTTTTATTTTAAAAAAGCAAAACAGAAAAAATGATAGAAACGATACAGAATTTCAAAAAGACAGTAGGAAGTTAACAGTGGTTTATATATTGCATATTGTTATCTTAGAGGTAGTTGTTCAGGTTACAAGATTTAGACATAAAAAATGGTCACACATCAAACAGTAAAAGCACAAACTGTTCTTTTGGATGAACTAACAGAGATTAGTAGTATAGCTAGCTATCATATATATGTTTATATATTATATATATATGTATATAATTTTTTTTCCTTTTTCCTTCTCTCCTTCCCCCTACCCAGTTGTTCTTTCCTTCCGAGGACTTCTTTCATCGATATATTTTTGCATCACTAAGCACAACTGCTCCATTTCTAGGCAATACTGTAGTCCTGGCATAAACTTTGAAGCCCAAAAGAATTATGCTTAGAGATTGGTGCTAACATTTGTTGAGTGACCTGACTTGAATTACTTAACTGTACACCTATGTGAATTATAAGGCATCAGTCTGGGAGAAAATTGGGTGTTAGAACAAATACGAGAATTACTGTACATAAGGAATATTCACAATGCTATATGAAGACAAAATTGCTTTTACTGTAGGTAAAATCAACATGTGCAGAATGACTTTTGTTTACAAAGTTCTTTTCACAAATATTCTCTCCAAATGAGGTCACTCTTCCTCCTGAGCTCAGCAGGGGAAGGTGCGGTAAGTCTCCTGCAGACGAGGAAGCCCACGCAGCCCACAGTCAGTAGCTGAAGGTCGTACACTGAGTGATTGAAAAATGCAGCGTTTTCTTCACATTTTTTAATGTGCTACAGTGAAAGGCACATCCCCCTTAGTCCCCCACAAAGTGCTCCACCGCCGCTTTGAGCCACGCTTGTCCCAGGGTCCGGGTGCCTCTGCAGCAGCTCTGGAGAGCCTCCTTCCTGAGTGTCTTCGGCTGTGCTATCGTGGCGGCCTCCAGATCCTGAGCTTACTCAAAACACTGACCTTTCATGGTCGTTGTGACTTTGGGGAAGAGACACAAGTCACGCAGTGCCGGGTCCTGTGAATGAGGTGGACGAGGACCCCGCGCACGATCTTACATGCCTGTGCTTCTCTTGGCAGCAGTGTTCACCGTATTATTTATTAAATTTCATAAATGCATGAACAGGGGCTTCAAGAACTGCTTCAGAAAGTGGCACGAACAACTGCATATGTGTCCAAAGGAAACGTGTTAATGGCATTGTATTTTTTACTGCAATCAATTTTTAAAATGTAAACATTCACAGTATTTTTTAATCGTGCTTGGTAGTCAGCCTAGAGGACCCACAGGAGCGTTTTAACTTTAAAGACAGTTTTACCTATCAGCAAGCAGTGCAAGTGTGTTACACGAAATCTACTTCTAATCCCGCACTTTCAAAAACAACCAGCGGTATTTCCTTCTGCTCCTCATCCCTTCCCATTTTGTGGAGTGGAAAATATTCCTCCTGCCTTTCTCCCCCGTTGATAACTCCATCCCATCTTCCTGATCCGGTCTCTGCTTTTCGGCATCAGTAAACCCACAGGACTTTCGCTTTTATTAAGGAACAAATATTTCTTTACGTAAGCGATGATAGCAGGGTGAGCAATTCCCAGTGGGCACAGCTCACTTTCCTCCTGTCCCCGTCAGTGGCCAGGACCACCCCAGCCGGGTGTCTGCCGGCCTGACATTCGGCCATTCGGCCTAACCCTAACCTAACCCTAACCCTAACCCTGTCTCTCTCTCTCTCCTTCTGTCTCTCTCATCTGTCTCTTCCTTCTTCTCTGCCTCCCTCCCTCCTCTGGCCACTTGACCAAGTTTTTCTGCTCCGTATGACTCTTTCTGTGCTCTTTAATATACAAGTTGGAGTGGATTCACAGCATTTCCCTTTTGGTTTCCCGTCTGTTTATCTATGGCTCCCCTTCTGCACAACAAAGGACTCTAACCTAAAGACGGGCTTTCCCACTCCCCACACCGCCAGCCTGTCTAATCTCCTCCCACTTTCCTAACCAGACTTTCTAAATACGAGAAAAACAACTCAGTCACCAGAGCCACTGGGACCGAGTAGCCCCCCACACAGAACAGGGAGGGGTGGATCCAATGACCGTGACAAGCAGAGGACAAAATTCTACACAGAGTGTGAAGAAGATTAAATAAAGAAAAGAGAAAGAACGCACACATGAAAAACGAGGGCTGCTTAACTGCAGACGCCTGGATTCGGGTCAGCACACCGTGACCCTCAGCCCTGACTGCTGTCTCGCCAGCCGCCTTTCTGCCCCCGTTCAGTATGGCTCTCAGTTTCCCGTTTTCCCTCTTTTTGATCTTCTTCTGACCCAGCTTCTCCCTGGCGCCCTGGAGTTCTCCTGCTTGATCTTCTCCCTGCTCCTTTGGCGAATCTGAGGGCCGAGTTCCATTCTTCTCAACTGTGGTAAAAACATGATATGCATTCTCTTAGCAACTTCCAAGGGGGCAATACAGGACTGCTAACTAGAAGCTCAGTGTAAGCCAAGTGTGGTGGCGCGCATCTGTAATCCCAGCACTTGGGAAGCTGAGGCAGGAGGACTGCTGTGAGTTCAAGACCAACTTGAGCTACCAGCTGAGCTCAAGGAACTGCATAGTAAGACCCTGTCTCAAAAAGACAAAAATAATAGAAACAAGTGTTGGACAGAAGATTCCTGGAACTTACTTCTCTGGCACATCTAGAGCCCTTGAATAGCAATTCCCCCCAATTCCTCTTCTTGATCCCTGGTAACCACCATTCTACTGTCTGTTTTGGTGAATTTGGCCATTTTACATAATTTATGTCAGTGGAAGCAACTTCAATATCCATTAATAGATGGCTAAAGAAAATAAAGTATACATATATTGTGGAATATTACTCAGCCACAAAAAGGAGGCAGACCTGCCATATGCAACAAGGTGGATGAACACTGGGGAAGGCTACGGCCTGAATGGGAAATTTCACCACCAATATGACAGTAATAAGTAGTGGAGCCTTCGGGTAGAGAATCAAGTCCCAAGGATAGAGACCTCCAGGATGAGACTGTGTGAAAGGGCTCAGGGAGGTGGATTCACTCTCCCTCTGCCCTTCCCAGCACTTCCTCTCCTGTTTGCTTTCAGCATACAAAGGCACAGGCAGAGGCGCCATCTTGGAGGCAGAGAGCACCCTGACCAGACACCAGGTCCACCACTGCCTTGACTCTGGATTTCTCAGCTTCCAAAACTGTGACAAAATAAATTTCTCTTCGTTATAAGTTTCCCAGTCTAGGGTATTTTATTTCAGCAGGAGGAAGAGACTAAGTCGAGGATTTTGCACTAAGGAGAGGAGCCAGGTTGCCTCCCTGCAGTCCCCTGGAGTCTTTGAGCATAGAGACTGCCCTGAGGGTGTTTTCTCTTCTGTGTCCCCAGTGGGTGGAAGACACCAGACCCTGCTGAGTGCAAAGGGACAGATGGATGGA